GACATTTTCTGTGAAAACATTAAGAAACTTTAATCAGAGCATTGCATTGAAAATAACTACTAATTTTTGCCCAGTAAATTATTTTCAAAACTGTTTTATCCAGTAGAGGGTCATGAGATTTTGCTGATTTACTTGTTGAAAGAAACCTACGAAGACTACTGATTAATTATCAACGTTTGTTAAGTGGATAAGTAATACACCGACCAAAACATATGTTTTTTCCCCTAAAATAAATGTGAATTTTGTGTATTGTAGTGTTGAGGAGTTTCTATTTTCCTTCTGTTCTGACCAATTCCCAAGGTACCTGAGAAAGTGTTTGGCCAAAGTGTTTTTATATTGTTGTTGATAAAACCTGAATTAAATTAACCAATGGGTTTGTGTATGTGAAGCGATAAAGCCAAGATTCACAGCTACATGGTTCTGGACAACAAGAATGATAGGTTTGATTTCCGGCCACTAGAAATAAAGCAATTACATTTTCCTTGGCCAGGCCAGCTGCTCTGTAGATGTAGTTTTGGCTGCATGAAGCACAGAATGTGTTACAGGATCCTCTGGTTTTTCAAAGTAACAACAGGCTGTTTATAACTATAACAAATAAAAAAGCTTGTTCAAAGGATACTCAAATCAGCAGTTATATTTCATCAACATGGGACATACAGTCATCTGAATCCAGCACTATGCTCCGTTATTAGTACATTAATGCCGATCTGACATCCATCAGACTGCTACCCCATGTAAGATTAATTACTGCATTCTCATGGGCAGGACTGCTATGGAGTAGGCACAGATGCCAGGAAAGCTTTGTGATCCAGGTCTGTTTAAGTCTCCCTCCCTAGAGAAGACGGCAAGTAAAATTCACCTTCTGTTCTTATGGAAGAGTTTAATTTGCCGATATCTTTCTCTTTCACATTCCTATGCACAAGGGTATTTAGTGTTATTATGTCTTCCTGTTCACCAGATGATTGATTCCCAACGAAATGCATAATATAGTTGACAATCTGATTTTGCACTACATGAATATAGTACGGTGCATTTTAATAATGTAACAAATGAGCACATTATGCATGCCCATGTTTTTTCAACAGTTGTAGTCATTTAAGTCTTCCAATATTTAAATTATATAATACATTATGATTTATACGTGAAAGAGACGATATATACCTTGGGCTAAATTTAAAATATAATTTACATCAGTATCTAAATACTGTATTCCACTGGAATTTTCACAATTTCTGTAATGGGGAATGAACACTCTGCGACTGTAGCATATGAGAAACCAAAAAGACACTGTCAAAAGACAGTGACAGCAGACCACTGTCCCATAATTACACTGCCAACCCAGGTAATATTCCTCGACGGAGCTCATCAGCAGAAGCACACCTGGCACTACCTAAGCTAAAATGCAAAACTGTGAATCTGAGTTGAGATGAAGCACATTATGCCTTGGTTATGCATACTTCTCTCCAGTATAGGAGCAGTTTATTACTCTTCTTTGATGTACCTGTTAAGCAACTCAGGATATCAAGCTGGACAAATAATTGTTGTCATGCTTAAACATGCTTATTTGCATGTTTATATTTATGTTCAGTTGGACAGTTTTTGCACCGCAAATGTGAACATGGAGCACTGATATAATTTCATATCCTGTAATTACATAGCTTCAAATAATTGTTTCAACCATTGATCCCAACCAGAAGATATTTGTTATATAGCTACAGTATAATCATCCATTGTGAACCTCATAGGCCAATAGTATCATAGGGGATCTTACAGCGTCAGTGGGTGATAATAATGATAACACTGAAAAAACTCTATCTCCCAGTCATTTGGTCAAGTGAACAACTGAGAGCAAAAAGACTTTACCATCAATTAATGTACACTCTTTTCATAACTGGATATTGGTGTGTGAGCATTAAGTTAACATTCACTTAATGTGAGTTCAGCGCAGTGCTGGATCTCCAGTTCACATTTTCACCTGTCAACTGCAAGTATAACTCTTGATTCTGGAACTGTAAGTTTTTGCAATTTGAGCAATTCCATGGGAAAAATCACAAGCCTAAATACAGATGATAATGCAGACAATTTTATTTTTATAAGTGAGGCTGAAAATGATACATTTATAAAAGAGAAAAAAAAACATTTGTGGAAAAGTTTGGGTGATGTTTCTATGAAGCATTCAACTCATGTTTTTTGTATTTTCAAGACCAGATGTGGAATAGAAACATAGCCAGAAGGGAAAAAGATCCTAAATGGAAATGCATAGCAGCCTTCTGCAAATCTATAGGGAGCCATATTCCCTAACACATGCCTGATGCAAGCTTGCTTTTACCATGCCTTGTGCAATCCTGTAAACATTCCCACAAGTTTATGTTTCTAAGAAATGCTCTGGTTTTACTGTGAGACAAACAGATTTGTATGGCTCTCAAAAAACAACGGGATGGGAGCTGTACAATGTTTGGCCAGCATGGAGGTGAACATTTAAAGTTACATATTGTGTGAATAATGTTAGTGTTAAGGTGTCACACATTTGTAACATTCAGAGCCCTTTTGGTGTCAGCAGGTTTAGAGTAGAGTAGAGGCGTTTATTGCCATATGTACATGTACATTGGAATTCTTATTCACGCTGATCTCTTGGGACATACACAGTACAACAAACGACACAATACTGTAGACAGAACATTACAAATATAATAAATAACAACAGGAATACTTAATATGTTGTGGGACAATAAATATGTAATAGTGAGAAAAAAAAACATGGTAGACCATGCAAAAAGTGCATAGTGCAGATGTGTATTGAATCTGAGGCTTTGCAGTTAGCTGTTGAGGATGCTCACTGCAGTACAGTAGAACCTGTTCTTAAGTCTAGAGGTCCTCCGTGCTTTAATAGTGCAGTACCACTTGCCAGAGTGCAGGGGGGAGAACAGTTTGTGGTTGGGATCTTGAATGATGGATTGGGCTTTATTGCAACAGCACCTGGTGTGACTCTCACCCATGCTAGTAACTCACTAGAATCTACAGAGCACAGTAAGTCTGTGGATATGAGCATCACCATGCTCATATGCACCCCTTTGTACCTGGAGCTTTTTGTACTGGAACTGGATGATACAGTCTGTTTACTTATTTAGATCTGCGTTTCTTTAATAACTATAAATGTGGAGACTGAGATGAAGTGATGGGCTTCACAACATTTTGAAGCTCACCACAACAAGCGGAGAGGTTTCATGGAGGATTTTTAATGGACATCACAATAATTTACCCTGGCTGGCAAATAAAATAGCTGTTTCAGATCACAAGACAACAACACATCCATGGCAACACAATCTGAAAACTTTAACAGAAGCCAAAAATGAAACTTGTAGGGCTCACTGGTGCTAGGTGTATGAATACTTCTCCCCATACAGTGCATGATATTAGTTTTATATTATAGTTTATACAATGCACAGATACATTTTTGTTACATTGTGGTATTTTTCTTGTTGTTCCTTTGTGTTTTAATAGTTGGCTTACAACAACCACCTGTAAATGACTTACTCTGCTGAGATATGCACCTAATTATGTATAATTTTAAATGGCTATTATTAATATCTATTACCATCTTCTCATCATAGTTACCTGTCACACTTTGAAATTATAGTTACATTTTACTTGCAATCAGAACGCCTAAAACCTCTTGAAATACTGAAATCAAAATAAATAAGGTGTAGATTTTGTTTGTGTAGATCTTACTGTGTGTCATTTTACAGTGTGATATAAAATGGAACGGGTCTATATTATAATGTGCCCTGAAGATTGTCTCTGTCTAGTGCGTAATAATCCTGACTAAAAATCACAAATCACGCCATGAGCTGCGATTTTTAATGCACCATCTATAATTTGCTTGCGTTTCAAATCAGTTACAGGCTAGAATTAAAACAATGATAATAGGAATACAGCTGTATTGTACTCTAACTGTAAAGGTTGGGATGTCAGCACAAATTCAGTATGTGCCACCAAGCCCTCTTTTTAAGGGTGCATGACTGGAGAGATTTTAAAGGCGGTAGTTTTATTGGATGCAGATATGATGAAAGATAATAACTCATGTTATTCTAATTGCAGGAGCAAGAGCTCCTCAAGGGGCACTTTTATTATAATTTCGTTTTTTAAAAAGAACTTAAAATCACTCGTTACGTTCCCACGTTAAGTTTGAAAAATAACACCATCTTGAATATGTATAAACACATTTCAACATGCCTAGAACACCCGTGCAAGATTTTTGCATTTTTATCTACCATAAACCAAGATTATTTTGTGCTGTAAGTACTGTAAGTGAATGAATGCACGCCTAAGACTACACTGGGCTGTTAAGGTCATATCTGTGCTTAATGTTTCAAACCAGATATCCATCGTATCATTCTCTTTTATGGGAATACATCTGTCTAACAAAGCGACGTAAATCTGTAATGTTCATCGAAAAACATGATCTTAGAATATTCTTTTAATCTGTATTGGCGGTGTTTATTGTATGACAAATGCCCCCCCTAGTGTTTTCTTCAAATATTGTTTTCTTGATCAATCTTGAAGGCTACCAAAGAAACACGAATTTATTTGGGTTTTTCAGAGAGTCCTTTAAAAGTAACGTAATTGTTGTATTTTTTTAGTAACTCGATTTTGTTTTGTAATGAGAACAAAAGCGTAGAAGCAAATGACATGAAAAGCATGCATGTGCATTACGTGACAAAAAGGAGAAACGGGGAGAACACCCATGTACTGTAGGAACAGTATAGTAGACACTTTGTATAGTTGTTTGATATAGCAAAGAGTTGTCCAGAGCTATAAAAAATGCTTCAATAACTACACGCATCACATAACATTTAAAACAACATGCTGTTATTTTTACTGAAATTACTACGTTCTATCCCTCCCTGCTTGAACACGAAAAACACTCTGCCGCTTTTCATGACTACAACTACATTTCCCAGAACGCAGTACGAAAACCGCTGCTGCAAAAGTGTCGCAAAACTAGGAATAGCGGTGCGTGTGTGCAACTACCGTCAGTAAGAGTGGACGAGTCTGGAGAGGAAAACTTGCAAAATGTGAACCTTAACAAGCATAAAAAAGGAATGTAACTGGCATATTCATGCAGGGCTGCTGTGCACAGTTTTTAAATCGAACTACTTAACAAACGTCAAGAATGGAGGAAAGTATGGAAGAGGAGGAAGGTTTTGAGATGATGGACGATCACAACCATAACAACTGGGAGGCCAGTGCAAATGCATACACACTTCACCCCCAGAACCAACCCCAGCCTCCCGAACACCCAGCACAGACTCTGCCGGGCGAGGCCGAAGAACCCTGCCCGGTGGAAGCTACCATGTTCCCGACGTGTGGCAGCGCGGCCAGCGATGGGGACAGTCCTGCCTCCTCGACCGCTGTTACTGGAAAACTCACCCTCAACATTAACAGCTCAACTTCCAAGTTCTGTAAGTTTCTCTCTCTGTGTATTTATTACCGCTGTAGTGGCAGGGTCCCCAGCTTGTTGAAGAAGGGCTGGATTTCGGACGAGGGTGAGTGTTGGGGAGAGTGAAACTAAAATCAGAAAGAGTAGTTGATGCAATTAGCTAAGCTTGGGGAGTGTTCAACTTTTCACTGTCAGTGTTAGCCATCTGGATGTGCTTGGTTGACACTTTAAAAGGATATTGCCGTGAATTCAGATAAACAGAAATAACGCAGCGTTATGGATTTTTAAGATGAACACCAAAAGCTGAATTAAAAGTGTTTCACTCTAGCTTAATTTTAGTTAATTTTTTTTTAATATTCCCGATTACCTGCGTTCATCACTGGACTGAAACAGGAAGAGTGGAGATCAAATACAAATGTGGTTTGCAATACCTATCTTCATTTTAGAGTTTTCAACAGAATTGTTCTTAACGCTGATATTCCATACATTGCCTCTTATAAGTATCGAGGGAGCTGGGATATTAATTGAATAAATCTATGGAGAACCAGAATAAAAGATTAATGAACATTTCTTATCTTTCTTGAAAACACTATAGTATGTTTTATTGGCATCATATTGCAAATGTTCAGGTGGGTAGCTGCATCAGCATTCGTGGCTGCAAAGGAACAAGTAATAAGTTTATTCCATGGAGACCTGAAGTCTCTACAGCCAAAACTTTGTGTTTTCTTTCTTCTCTTTTCAGCATGGAATAAATTTGCAATGTGAACAAGTGTTTCACATTGAAATCTTCTTTGTTGCAAAGAAGTGCAAGTGTTGCTTTTTGTTTTTAAGAATTTAACTTAATCTCACAGAGTATACAGTGCCTTGCGAAAGTATTCGGCCCCCTTGAACTTTTCAACCTTTTGCCACATTTCAGGCTTCAAACATAAGGATATAAATTTTTTATTTTATGTGAAGAATCACCAACAAGTGGGACACAATTGTGAAGTGCAACGAAATCTATTGGATTTTTGAAACTTTTTTAACTAATAAAAAAAATGAAAAGTGGGGCATGCAAAATTATTCGGCCCCCTTGCGTTAATACTTTGTAGAGCCACCTTTTGCTGCGATTACAGCTGCAAGTCGCTTGGGGTATGTCTCTATCAGTTTTGCACATCGAGAGACTGAAATTCTTGCCCATTCTTCCTTGCAAAACAGCTCGAGCTCAGTGAGGTTGGATGGAGAGCGTTTGTGAACAGCAGTTTTCAGCTCTTTCCACAGATTCTCGATTGGATTCAGGTCTGGACTTTGACTTGGCCATTCAAACACCTGGATACGTTTATTTGTGAACCATTCCTTTGTAGATTTTGCTGTATGTTTGGGATCATTGTCTTGTTGGAAGATAAATCTCCGTCCCAGTTTCAGGTCTTTTGCAGACTCCAACAGGTTTTCATCCAGAATGGTCCTGTATTTGGCTGCATCCATCTTCCCCTCAATTTTAACCCTGTCCCTGCTGAAGAAAAGCAGGCCCAAACCATGATGCTGCCACCACCATGTTTGACAGTGGGGATGGTGTGTTGAGGGTGATGAGCTGTGTTGCTTTTACGCCAAACATATCGTTTTGCATTGTGGCCAAAAAGTTTGATTTTGGTTTCATCTGACCAGAGCACCTTCTTCCACATGTTTGGGGTGTCTCCCAGGTGGCTTGTGGCAAACTTTAGACGAGACTTTTTATGGATATCTTTGAGAAATGGCTTTCTTCTTGCCACTCTTCCATAAAGGCCAGATTTGTGCAGTGTAAGACTGATTGTTGTCCTATGGACAGACTCTCCCACCTCAGCTGTAGTTCTCTGCAGTTCATCCAGAGTGATCATGGGCCTCTTGGCTGCATCTCTGATCAGTCTTCTCCTTGTCTGAGCTGAAAGTTTAGAGGGACGGCCAGGTCTTGGTAGATTTGCAGTGGTCTGATACTCCTTCCATTTCAAGATGATCGCTTGCACAGTGCTCCTTGGGATGTTTGAAGCTTGGGAAATCTTTTTGTATCCAAATCCGGCTTTAAACTTCTCCACAACAGTATTACGGTCCTGCCTGGTGTGTTCCTTGGTCTTCATGATGCTCTCTGCGCTTTCAACAGAACCTTGAGACTATCACAGAGCAGGTGCATTTATACAGAGACTTGATTACACACAGGTGGATTCTATTTATCACCATCAGTCATTTAGGACAACATTGGATCATTCAGAGATCCTCGCTGAACTTCTGGAGTGAGTTTGCTGCACTGAAAGTAAAGGGGCCGAATAATTTTGCACGCCCCACTTTTCATTTTTTTATTAGTTAAAAAAGTTTCAAAAATCCAATAGATTTCGTTCCACTTCACAATTGTGTCCCACTTGTTGGTGATTCTTCACATAAAATAAAAAAATTATATATTTATGTTTGAAGCCTGAAATGTGGCAAAAGGTTGAAAAGTTCAAGGGGGCCGAATACTTTCGCAAGGCACTGTATGTATAATGCTTGCAGGCATCTTTTAACTCTTCAGTCAAAAGATATCACTGAGGTTAGATAGATAGATAATACTTTATTAATCCCGTAGGGAAACTGAAGGTTGAGTGGTGTGGCCAGTCACTGTATATTAAAATCTCCTGTTCTGCTGTCTTTCAGCCATGTAAGTTTTAACAGCTTTGTGTTTTGACTTATTTGGGTATTGAAAGCTGTTTGGTTTGCAAAGTTGCACATAAAAAGATTTGGAATTGTGTTGAATCTGAATACAAGTGAGTACATGCATACTGACGAATGTGTGCAAGATAGACATAAAGATTCATAGTTTATGTTTTTCTAATCTTGTAGGGCATTTTTTTTTATAATTGTAAAAAGTTATAAAAAGAAGCAGTAACTAATACATTTAACCAATATATATATATACACACAAATCATTTATGCTTTTAATGCTTGAACAGAATGGAAAATTCTACTACAAGTTACTGGAAGGAACAAAACTCTTAGTTTTAAGTCTTTTAAACTTTACCAAAACAACTTGTTTGAAAGTGTTGCTATTGATAGCACTAGGAATATGGATATGGTGTCTGTTGTGTGGTTAATCTTGATATGCTTTCATGCAAACTGTTGTCTTCAGGACATAATTTATAGCCATTCGACTAGTGACTTCTGCAGAAGCCTTCCAGAAAAAAAAAACATCCTGATCGTCAGGCGTAATGGTGGGGAGTATCTTAGAGTTATATTAGGAGATCTTTCATTCATCAGTTAAATCTGTGCTGGATGTGGGTCATGCAGCAGCAGAGTAATCCTAAACCTACAAGCAGATCTTTATTTGCCATTTTGCATTTTGGATTGGTCAAGTGAGACTTAAACTCCATTGACATGCTGTGGCAGAAAGTGAGCTGTTTACAAAAGGAAGCCTTCAGATGTCACCCTCTTGAAGCCGTTCTGCAAGGCAGAATGGGCCAAAATTCCTAAGATCTGATGCAAATTGATAGACAGCTAAAGCAAACGTCTAGTTGAAGTCATTGCTGCTGAAGGACATGGTGCCAGGTACTGAATCTAGAATATGTATGTTTATTCACACAGTGATATTTACTGTTGGATCATTTTGTTAATGAATCAAAATATATTGTATGTCTTTGTGTTATACAATTAATAAGGTTAGCTTAATCTTATACAGCTTTCATGAGGATATAATTATGGGATTCACAAACATTTTCTCTGCACTGTAGCTGCCTTAAAACCAGTTACACTGCATAGCTCACAGAGTAAAATGTGGGCTTATGTAATATCCTTCTTTTCATTTCATATATAACTCTTTAGAGTGTGTACTTTGTATCTTAAGCATAACATGGGCAATGTACTGTAAGTATTCTGCCTAATGCCACAGTACATTCAATATCTCAGTGTGGTAAAAAGACTTTTAGCACATGTATTGGAGAAAGCAGGTAGGTATGAATACTGTATATCAACCACTTTTTGGATTGCTTAGTATTATCACTGTAGTTGTGATTGGAATTGGGCTTTTTTGATTGAATGAAACAGTGAAACATGAGCTGGAGGACACATAGTAACTAAGTGAAATTTCTCATAAAACCATGAACAGGCGGCGCTTCCGGCACAATGGAAGACATTATCCAGCAGGTTTAAGCCAATACCCTTGCTATTAGCTATCAAATGAAATGAACGAACATCTTATGTTTCATAGACCATGTTTTGATCAATTTCAAAATGTAGTTTTAAACCTCATTGGATACACAATCATTCTTTATTTACACTTAACTTCTTGCTGTTTCATAGTAGCAGCACTCAATCTGCTGTTTTATCTCTGTCACAAGTGGAGATAAGAGTTCCTTTATCATACAGAGTGATTTTGTTTGCTGCCATAACCCAGTCATGGTTTCTGTCTCCATATTGCACAATGCAGTGAGTCAGGAGCGTTATTTAACCTTCCTGCTGTGGGGTTTCAGCTTGTGGTTAAGAAGGCATATTCAGCTGTGGTGTGTTCATTTGGGAACCTGGATGATTTTAAGTAAGGAGGAGTATATTCAGTTTGTTGCTTTTTATGAAATCCAGTGACACCAGATTTAAATAATACTGATGATGGTATGTATAGTTCTTGAAAGCCTTCATGGTATGCAGTGTAACTTCACATAAAGCTAAAAGCCATTGTACGAAGTATTTTGCTTTCCAGCTAGTTTTATGTACAAACTCAATTTGGAAACCCTGCAGCCACACAAGGGGGAATGAGGAAGTGTAGGAGGACTCTTTCAACCTGCTACTTATCTTGTAAGATGGTACAGGCTAAACTGTGCTGTACACTAGAACTTAGCGCCGATTGGAGCAGACATGGGTCCCTATAGCTTTGAGCTGAGAGAATCCTGGTCAACTATTCTCTTTGGCACCGCTCATTTGTGCATTGTTGCTTAGAGAGATGCAGTCAGCTAGTGACGTGACCCAGGTTCAGATTCACAGTACCTGCATCACAGAGCTCAGCCTGCACTTGGGTTCCCTGTTACTGACAATGCCTTTGAGGATTTAGAAAACTGGAATCAGGTCTCCTTCACCGTTTTCTCTGTTGATGATTAAAGTCACCCTGTTTTTTTTAGCTTGTCAACATTGGACATTCCTTTGAAATAGGTAGCGCTTATCTGGACTGATTCCAGAGCAGTTTAAACGCACAGTTATTCTAAATGATTGTAATATGCACAGAAAGAATGGAACAAAAGGAAGACATAATTAATGATGGCAACACTCTTGAATCAGGGAAGCGCAGAGGTTAGCATTACTGGCATTAGGTTCAATCTTGGAACGTATCTGTGAAACGTTTATATGTTCTTCCCATGTTCACGTGGGTTTCCAGATGCTCCTGTTTCCACCCACAGTCCAAATACATGCTGGTATGTTAATTGAGGTCTGGGAAAATTGGCCATGGTGTGTGTACATGTTGTGTGCCCTATGATGGACTGGCGTACCATCCAGAGTGTATCCCACCTTGCACCCATTGCTTCCTGCGATAGGCCCTGGCTCTCCCTTTAACCCTGTATTAGATAAAGCAGTCGGAAAATGGATGGATGTAATACTCTTGGATTGTATATATCTATTTTTTTGTGTTTTGTGTTCCAGTGATGAATGTTATAACTATGGAGGATTACAAAAGCACATACTGGCCCAAGTTGGAAAGAGCCATTGACCAGCTCCTCACACAGAGCCCGGAGGACTATATTCCCATTTCCTACGAGCAGATCTACAGGTAAGACTCACCTCATATGCTGCTGCCTTTGAGACAAGCATCCAGTCTCTATATAGATGGCTAATATCACCATCTTAATTCTGCATTTTTTTCTTTATCATGATGTAATCACACTATCACATTGAAGTCAGCCAAGGAAAAGCAGAGAAGCTGCTATGTTGGTTGTATACAAAATAAATTGCACTAAGGTAACTTATTTTTACTTAAAGGGGAACTGCAACATTATTTTCATATTTCAATGTTAGAAAGAATCCGCATTTATAAGTGCCATGAAACTACAATTAAAGTAAAATGTGCACAGTGACAGTGAATTTGCAGGTATGTGCAGCGCCATGTTCTGAGATTCATAAAATGGTCACAAAACCTCCGCTGATGTGTTGTGGCCCTACTACATTGTAAACAAGCACGCTTGTGAATACATCTCTTAATCCAGTAGAAACATTGCTCTCAATTTCGAGATGGTTTTGCCGACAAGCACTACTTACATGTTAACTCTGTACGCAGATCATGTTGGAATATTTCTGTGGTGAAATGTCTGCTGCACAACCTGTATTTATTCTCTTGTCCATCGCTTTACATTAGTCATTACAGAGACTAGTGAGCAGGAAAGGCTGCATCATGTTTCAATTCGTGGGAACTCGAATGTGAGTTTTTTTACAACATAGCGAATTACAGTGCTTTCACAAAGTTAATCATTTTGTGCTTAATTCAGAATTTGCAATTTTATATGATGTCGATGAATTTATTTTGTTACTGAGATTTAATAACCGGTCTGAGAAACTAGGACTGCAGTTCCCCTTAAAAAGATTATACTTCCTAAACAAATAAGACCTATACCTAAGATCTAAACCTTTACGTATAGAATTTACCACAGCTGTATTTTTTGTATTTTTTCATATTATATAAAATACTGAATAGTCAGTCTACTGTCTGCTTCTTTGTAACATCTGTTTTGATCTTTGTCATTACCTTTTTAAAACTATAGTTTTTCAAAATAAAGTATTGCAATAGGTTAAGTACTTGATCTAATTTGCTCACATTTCTAGTCAAGTGTTTTTTCCATCTCAACTAACGTAGCATTTACTTACTAGTGTTTTACTTCTGAAGCAGAAAAGATTCTTGAATTTCTAAAATTGTCCTCATTGTTTTAAATATAAAGTTTTCCCTCTTGAATCATAAACTGCTTTCAGCATTTAGAAAGAAAAATAATTATTTACATTGCACATAATTAGGGGTGATTAATCAACACACCTGTTAGCTGGTGAATCCAGTCAGCACTGAATTCTGGGAAAGGGAATGAGTTCTTTTTTTCAGGTGTCTTTAAGGGTCTGAGAATGTCCTCCTCATTCTTGCCCTCCCCTAGACCTAGGGCTGAAATACATACAGTGCTGAGAATATATTAAGTATTTGTATTTTTTATTCCTTCAGCTGTGTCTATAAGTGTGTTTGCCAGCAACACTCAGAGCAGATGTACAATGACTTAATACAGAAGATAACTGGTCACTTGCAACGTGTCTCTGATGAATTACAGGTAAGGTCTTTCTGGGTCTAATGGCATAAAAAACAACACTATCTTAAATGGGATTAAAAATTATTTGTGTTGCAGCTTTGAAGAAATTTGTCCCAGATAACTGGAATATTGTTGCTGAAATGAAGATCATTGATACAGTTTTTCTTATTTCATTTTTGTGTCACTGTGCTCGGGAGCATGCAAAGGATAAGGATTGTGATAAAGGACCTGTATACAACATCTGTGCACACCTGTTTCAGACCAGGGCCACTTATCATAGAGTGTGGATGGAACAGGGCTGTGGAGCTGCACAGTATTACTTAACAAGGAACAAGCAGTTTATTCCATGCTGAATGATGAAGGCCCTTCAGCCGAAATATTTGTTTTTTTTAACTTATTTCTGCTTTCAGCATGGAATCAAGTACTGTACTCACGTATGGTACCAAGGTCTAAAGGACATTTAGTATAGTGTGTAATATTTATTGTAGCCAGGAGCTCGCAGGTTTTTCTATTTTGTATGCAGCTGCTTTTGACTGGGAAATCGGAATGCACTAACCGCATTCCGATTTCCTAGGCAGTCATAAATAAATTGATTGCTTATAGGGGTTAGAAAACATTAAAAAGTGACTCAGTCTTTATGTGGAAAATGTGTCATTCTATTAGTTAAAGGTTCTGCTCTATGCATGCTCAGATCATGAAGAATACACATTTTCATGCACACAATGACTCCATCTTGCTTATTGGTTATTGTTGCATCACATGAACGCCAGCTGTTGTCTTCGTAACCTAAAAGCAGGCTACTAATGTTCCTCTCTGAACCCTAAACTACATGTGCTATAACAGTTTTAAGATTTTATGCAAACATATCTTGGTTTGTTGATAAAGATCAAATCAGAGCTTTTAAAAGAAACTGTTTTAACAGGTTTTATTTAGCATGGTGTCCATAGTAAATTGATTGTTTTAATTTAAACCTTTTTGAATTTTTTTTTATCATTTTGAGTAGATGGGAAAACTGATGCTTAGTTGTAGTGCTGTCATTCCCCCACAAGATGGTAGTATGTGTTGGAAAAAAAACAAAGTTTTATTTATTCTTTATTAGAAATCATGTATCTTTTCCATGAGTTTTATTTGAACCATCATACACAAAAGCACCAAATATTTGTCTTAATGAGTAGACAAAGTAGACAATGAGTAGGGACCTACTGCTTGTTTTTTAGTTGAATCTGCAAGGGTGCGTGATAATTTAAATTTAGAATTGCTGTCATCATCATAGAAAAAATGTATAGAATTGATTACTGTAGTAGCTGTTATATAAATGTGCATATACGTCTGAGTTTTCTTTTCCTAATCGAGGATCATATCCCATCAAGTCGCAGTCAGGATAAAACAGTTTTGCATTTGCAGATGTTCTGACTGCTTGTTTTTTTCATTGATTAAGAGAACATGTCAAAAGAACAACTGTGTGCAAGCATGATTTGGTGATGTATAAATTCATTTGAAATTAAATTGATGATTGTGATGAAGGTAGTTAATCGACATACTGTGCAGTACAGAGCCACTTTTCTTTAACCTAGGCCCGGTCACTCATCTGTCAAGATATTTAAGTCAGATCTGTTAAAACATTTGTAGCTGTAATTAATTTTTCACAAAGCATTCATTTTGACAATTACCCTACAATAGTCTTTTTCTTTTGTGATTACTATACACTGCTGGAACTGAGTAGGGTTCTTTTGCTTTTGAAGGAGCATCTTCTGTTATTACAAGCTACACAGTGTTTGGTACTTTATGTTTAAAAGTTGTGCCGGAAATGATTCAAGGTGGACTTTGGATTAAGTGTCTCTCTGCTCCCTAGGTTTTTTTAGCACTTTGAAATCAAAAGTCAACAAGGTTTTAAGAACCTATTTTGCTTTCATTCTTATTCTGCTCTAGCCAGAACATAAAAAGGGTTGTGTTTATCTCAGAGCTGTAGATGAGTCATAAGGAACATAAAAGAAGGTTGTGTTTTGTAAATTCCTGTAATATCGAAAGCAAGGTCTTAAATGAATCTGAAGTGTTTTGTACAGAGTTCCTCAGTCACAAGCCATGAAAGAGTTTACAAGGAGAGAGAATCACAACAGTCAGGCACGTGCGATATGATTCACTACAAGAAAAAAGTGGAATAAATAATTTTAATGTTGAGGTATAGCTTTGTTAATGGAGAAGACATGGGACAACATGGGATGAGATTTAGGTTTTTCTTCAGTGTTTCATTACATTTTTTTGGGAAAGTTCTTGGAAACATTGTTGTGTCTGTGCTGAAATTAGTCTCCATACTGATTTATTTAGTTGTGTCTGACTGAGCTTATTCTTCAGTTTTCTCCCAGCTGGAAATGTTCCCAGATTTACCTTACCACTGCAGGGAAGAAACAAGAATAACGAACAAACCTAAATAAAGAATCTGAACACTATGTACAATTACGTAGCCATTCTTTGTTAAGTAATAAAGTAGAAATTTAAGAGAAGGCCTTGGTACTGTACATGGCTTCATGTAAAACCATTAAGCTTCTTTATTTGGATCACAGTAAGAGGCTTTTTGGGAGGGAGACTCGGAATAATGTACAATCTGAAGAAGCTACTTTTTGGCTTAATAGGACATTTTTGCTTGCAAACAACCACAATATAAACCAACTGTGAAAGCACAACTATTATTACATCCTCATGTTCCTCAGTTCATATTTGTTATCCAAATAACAAGAGAATGTCAGTGTATTTGTTTATTTAATTGAGCTTTATTTTATTTACAGTGACTTAGGGTTTAATTATTCAATTTTGTATGCAAAACAGTAGTTAAATTATACCTTACATTGCAACATTTGATGAAGCACTTCTTAAAAGTGAAACCGTAATGTGATAGGAGTTATGCAGTGGAACTTTGTGACAGATATATAGTGACTATGACTGTTGGTAAGACTTAGTTTATTATGGCGGCATTGATTTGAAGAATAAAATAGTTCTGCTAATAGGATTACAGCAATCATTCTCAGTTTAAATATGCTGTGTTCCTGTGTTCCTGTATATTGCTTTCTTTATAAGGTTCTTCCCTTTGGCTCAGTTATTTACCCTGTGTTAATTAGTAACAACCTTCTTAATATTTAGAAAAGGCCTTTAAAATATTTGTGCACTGTAAAGTTTTCACTAGAACTGCAGCTTTTGGTTCACACAGTTTTGTGTCCCTTCCACTTTCAGCCCAAGTTATATTTATATTACTTTTCTTCAGTTGTTTCTACTCTTTCCCCCTGCCCACCTGTGTATTAATGTTGTTACTTAACAAAGAATCGTGCAATACCTAGACTTCTGTTCATTATTTCTCACTGAAACACATGCTTTCTTCTGTATTGTATTTTCTCTCTAGGATTCTTTTAACAATTCATATTTTTTATCAATATGGAACAAGTAGAGGTTCCATGTCACGCCTAAGTTTTTCACATTGACATTTCATTGGAGAAATTAAAGGTAACTGAGTGTGCATGGGCTGAAAAATATTTTAGATTAACTTCCTTTAGATTGCAACCAAATGTCTTTGTGCTGTCTATACAGTGCTAAGAGGTTTTCATTGTGGCTTATTCAAGGCCACTGCAAGCATTCTTTTTGATTCTGTACCATGGTAACAGGCTTACGTGTGCCAAACTGGTGCATTTTTCTTAAATGTCTGTCGTGTGTATGGAGAGATGTCTTAGTTATAGAAAAGCCATTTTTATGAATTATTTTATGAATATTTTTATGAATTAAAAATAGCAGAATAGCAGAGAGCCCTGAAGCATGTCCAGATAGCCTCACACTCAAATCACAAATCGCCATGTAGAATGAATTATAGTATTAACAGCTGTTTAAACAGCACCTTTATCTTTCCTTTTCTTTCTTTTAAGCCATGTTTCAAAATGGTTATAATAGTTTTGTGAGTCACAATTCTGAGAAACAAATAATTTTTAAAAGCATAACAATTCTACTCAGTCTTTGTACAGTTTTAATCAAGTGAATCAAGTCTGTGTTTCTAAAGTAGTTAAATATTATTTTTATAAGGATGGTGTTGTGTGAATCTATATTGATGTATTCAACAAAATTCCACAAGTGTTTTTCTGATGTAGAAGTGGGAAGTGATTGAACTGTAACAGTGAAACTGATTAGCATTTTATGTTTTTTTAAACAATTCAAAGATATTTAGAAAGTCAAAATTTTAATCTGAGGAGAAGAAATGTTAGGTGGAACCTGTGTTGTATGAAAGTTTGTCACTTGTTCAAGATGGTCTTCACTGTTCTCAAAAGGAATAGTAACCTTCTCTTGATTTGTGCCTCTCGACCATTTTATCCCTAATTTATTTGAAAAATCTCCTTGGTCTTCATGGTTGATTTGTCCTAACATGAGTTTGCCTTGAAATTCGATATCTGAAGGTACCTTAATAAGACAGACACATTTACTCTGCACTCAAGTTAAACTGCATTGATTGCACACGGGCCAAGAAAGTTCTCTTTCAAAAATATTTTTTTGCACCTGATTTATGGCTGTCATAGCAAAGGGGTTGAATTCTTGGTTAATTAAGAATCTTGTAATTTAGCTGTATGTAAATCTTATTTATCAGCAGTTTTACCATCTTCAAGGGGATTATGCAGATTCAAAATGTAAAATTCTATTTGAAACTTTGAATTTTGTCTGCGTATTCTGGGTTTATCACTTGAAGTTAGACAACTTATTTCTTACCATACCTACAGGAAGGCTTTTGTGACCTAAAAGTTTATGATTGGCAGATGTGTTTCATTAGTAAGAGCTCTGTTTTGGACTTGTGGATATAATAAGCAAGAACAGTATATTCACTATTAAAAAGGTAAGGCCAGCATCCGTCCTTCACAGCAAATTTTTTCTTTTTGCTGTGTGAACTGCAGCCTTTTGTCCTATTTTTTAGAAAGTGTTTACTACACTGCTGTGTCCTTCTTTTCTTTTTAGTTTTGTTGAGACCAATGACTAAGCTTGTTTTTAATCATTCAAAT